ACCCAAACAGAAAGGGTACTTAAAAAGTCAATCTCAAATTTCTTTCAAGTTTACAAACACATGTTACGACAACCCCTTCATCAAGCCCATTAAAGCCGATAGCTTAGGGCAACAAATAAATTTAATGTCTCGTGATAAGTAAATAGAGCCAAATTACCATTATTAAAAGCAAGCGTTAACTTTCAACTGCTCTTTCAACTTGAAGAAGTTGTTGGACGAAATTTCAATCGACGAAGGCAAGCCTAATCATATTACTATTATATATAGTTCTATAAGATAATAATAAGCTCATTACAAGCCTGCATTTTCACTCGGAATCCACAACAGCACATTTGGTCCTTATTAGGAGGGCACATTAACCATAGGGGTTTGCAACCCAAGATAAGTCCCAAATAAGCCCTGTCATGCGTCAGGACAACGGTTGTGATCCATTGAAGGTCATTTTTTTTTTCTGTACTCCTTTCGGTGGATCGTAGTTATTGTCCGGACGCAACTTGCGTCCGGACAATGTACGTAATATTTTTTCCCCAAAATAAGAGTGAAAATCTCTTGATAGTTTCTTATCTACCGCTTTAAAGAGATATAGTTTAAGCGTGGTATATCACACAATTCTTATGCATTTACATGTCTAAACACCCAAAATTGATATTTACATTTATAATATCCTGGTATTAAAAACTTATGCATAATAAGATGTATTTCATTTTTTAAAAAGTTAACAAGAGTAGTATTTTTGATGTAATATCAAAGGTTCGAGAGTGTTATATATGCAAATATGAAAGTTTTGCTGATATATATGTAAATATATAAGAATTGTGTGGTATGTAGATTTTTTAGAGTGCCTTGATTTACAAGAAGTCGCCTTGTGTGCAAATAATTTTGCTTTTGACTTTATGTGGGTACCTAAACAATGTGGACGTTTACTTTTGAAAATTTATGGTGTTTTGAACATATTACATATCCATGCAGTCCGCTTTGCGGTCGGGTGGGGTGACGTTTGAGCAACATTGATGGTGGTTAAGTTGATCTGATCTTTTTTCGCAAGATTTTGAGTATTTTTTAAATTAATATTTTCTTTAAACAAGCTGGCTCACGAGCTTACGAGTTGAGTCGCGGCTAGCTTGACCTTGTGTCGTTAGCTCATTGAGCTCGGTTCATGGTCCTCTTATCGAGTTGAGCTTGAGCCGACTCATGAGTCGGATTGACTCACTTACAACCTAGTTGCACTGTATGTGTGTGTGTAGGTTGTCTTGAGGGCTTTGTATGCATAATTTCGAGGCAAACCTTTATTTTCTAGGAAGATTTACATATATACCACTCAATTCCTATGTATTTACAGAAATCACTAAAATATTTGTCATCATACTAAACTGCAAATGGGCCGATAAACTCTTCTCTTTATAGATTTCCCTGCATTTCATGGGCCGCTAAAATTGTCCAATAGAAAAAGGGAAACTTACATACCTATCTTACATGTTTTATGTATTTACATGTCTCACCCCTAAACTTTTGTATTTACACACTAAAACTTTGATTTTTTAAACGTATGCACGAAAAAGGTGAATTTCACTTAAAAAAAAAGGATAATAGTGCTATTTTTGATGTAAAGACAAAGAGTTGTTTGATATATATGTATGTAAAGACAACATAATTGTTTGATATGTATGTAAATGCCCCTAAAAAAAGGGGATAATTACATACAAAGCACCTGAAACATTGATTTTTACAAATCAAGCAACAATTGCTATGTACAAGTTTGAGATTTCAATTCTTCGTGGTGCTTTCTCATTCAAAGTGAGCTATTTGTCACGGACAAAAAGTCTCACATTGGCTAGGCATAGGGCTGAAAAACAGTAAAAACAGTATTTAAGTCCTGAGCAAGTCCTGAGCTGCCCACCACCCTGAAGAGCTCTTTTGGGATGTGAAAATATTGCTTTCGTTGAACAACTTCATTAAAAATGAAAGCAAGTTAAAGGTAGGGGTATTTAGACATACCATATAAATTTTGAAGATTTACACACATACGAGTCATTTCCCATGTATTTACATATCAAACGCCTACACAACATTTTTTATTTTACATATACGTCATCTTAGTTTATTCATAAAAAAATGTTTTTATTTTTATTTTTTAAGAGTTATAGTAACAGTTTCTTTTATGTGATATAAAAGATTTGCGTGATAGAAATGTAAGAAGACAAAGTTTAAGTGATAGATATGTAAATTTATAGAAATTGGATGGTATTTATGTAAACGCCTTTATAATTAATATTTATTTATATACATCACACTTATATTATGATATACTTTCTTATAATAAATATTTAATCATATAAATTTTTTTTATTTCAATTAAATTAGAATATTTATTTACATGAAAGAATTGGAAGATTAATATTAGTGGCATCATAGTTTGATTTTAGGGGCTTTTACGTACATGGCGCCGAAAATTACATACATATCTATACTTCTTGTTAGCGCTATTGTCCCTCCCCACCACAAGAAATTATTGCGTACAGACACCGCATGCATCTTCACACCGCATGCATCTCTGCCCTGACCGTAGATCACGGTGAGTAGATCACGGTGATCTACCGTCAGGATTATTTCAGTTTTTTAAATTTAAAAAAAAAATTAGGTGGGGCCCACCGAAATACATCCTGACTGTAAATCAGGTGATTTACGGTCCGGATCGGAGTCCGATCCGTATGGAATAATTTTTTCCCCACCACACCTCTCGGTTTCACACCCGCGTTGCTCCAACAGCAACACACACGCCCGCAAAACCACGAGTTTCCAACATGTCCTTCGGCGATCTTCTTTAACAGGGAAAAAATTTGCGTACGTCAATGGGTACGCAGAGATGTGTACATAATATGGTACACAGGGTTTATACGGGGATTACAAGGGGGTTATAACCCGTTGTACCTCCCGTTTAACTCCCGTGTAACCTCCCGTGTAACTCCCGTATAACTCCGCTGTAACCTTGTAATCTCAATGGATAAAATAAAAGCGCAGGTTACAACTGAGTTACACGAAAGTTACAAGGAAGTTATAACACGCTTGTAACCCCCATGTAACTCCCATATAACGCCCGTGTACCCATGCATACCATTTATAGTCAATGAATGACAGCTCATTTCTCATGCATACCCAAGATTAGCATACTAAATCAATAAAGCCTACGACAGTAGAGCAGAATATAATGCATAAGATAAAGAAAGTAACAGTGCCGAGAAGGAGAAGTAATGCATACACATAAATCTAAATGTGTTAACCTCACTTAATCCAAAAGCCCTAATTTCAACAGAAGCCAACAGTGCCAAGAAGCAAGAATTTAGCATTCAAGTATTTATAGAACTTGAGTATTTACATAACTTAAACTCAAGGCTGATCTACATAACTTGCTTATAAACTCAAGTATTCATCTTCCATAACACTTAGAAAACTTATGTCACATAATGATTCACCACAATATGGCAAGTTTATGCCACATCAAGTAGTCATTTCTCAACTTATGCCACATCACAACACAATAACCGAGCATCAAGTAGCCATTTCTAAACTTATGCACAGCAAGAGATAACAGCAAGTCACAAGAGCTTTCAAATTTTCTCCAAACTAACAAAATTGTAATTTTGAACAATTCTGATACAACTATATATTTAACACCTACTGTTTGATATTTACATTTGTACCCTTCTGATATTCAGAATCAATATTTGCAGAGACACATTTTTGCCTTTGAGAAATAAGTAAAGATAGTATATATGGGAAAACTGAAGCTCACGTTTGAGATATAAGAATATATGAGAGCCAATGATCTATGCGTGTATAAACAAATATCCAAGTTCAGGTGTTAAGCATGTAAAATATAAGAATACACTGCATATCTAATGACAACTTTGAAACCATATTGAATCAAATGTAGATTTTCCCAACATATTTTCAACACATTATCACATATTTTCCTTTCACTATACCGAAGAAACCACTAAATCAAATTTACATACACATAAATCTAAATGTGTTGACCTCACTTAATCCAAAAGCCCTAATTTTATAATAAAAATCTAAATAAATCTAATATTATAATGAAAAAACCACTAAATATAAATAAATCTTCTACAAGCCCTAAGATCACTAAAAAATCTAAATAAATCTAAAAGAAATTTAAGAAAGTTTAAGATAAGAGGCATACCTGAAGATAAATATGAAATATGACTGAAAAAATACTCAAAAATAACACGTAGGTCTTCAAACAACAGTCGTGCAAGACTATCGAGCAAACAAGCAAGAATATCAATCAATCAAGCCAACAGTGCCGAGAAGGAGAAGTGAAAAAAAAGGCGTAGACGACAAGCCCTAAGCTTTCGCGGCCGTCGGAGGAGTATAGTTGCAACTCGGAAGAGGGAGAGGGAGAGGGCGCCGAACGAACGAGGTTACGAGAGAAGTTTTGAGAGACGAATGAGAACCGATTTGGGTTTTTTAAGTAGGGTATATATATTTTAAAATATTTTATTTATTTAATTTTTTAACTCTGTTTTATATAATTAATATTGAAATATTATTAGTAATAAATTATTATATATTATAATTTATAGGATTTGATTTAATAAAATGTGAAAATATATTTAGTTAGAAAAATTAAATTAATTATAATTTAAAATATTTAATTTTATGAATATTAATTATGTAAATATATTAATTTATTTATTTTCGAGCCAATTCGAGCCGAACACGAGCGAACAAACTTTTGTTCGTGTTCGGCTTGTTTACATTTCGAGCTTAAAAATTTATTCGTGTTCGGCTCGTTAGGCTTAACGAACGAGCCGAACGCGAGCTACTTAACGAGCCGAACACGAGTTGTTCGCGAACAATGAGCCAAATTGACAGCCCTATGTAACCGAAAATATTGTTAGTCACGTGTCTGACACCTTAAACTTTGATATTATGAAATCTATACTTTTTGTTAGCGTTATTGTCTCTCCCCACCACACCTTTCACGCCCGCGTTGCTCCAACAGCAACACACACGCCCGCAAAACCACGAGTCTCCAACATGTCCTTCGGCGATCTTCTTCAACAGGGCCGCTTCCAATCGACCAGATTATTGTGCCTGAGTTTGCTGGTCGGAGGGAGAGACGCATCTGCCCGCAAGGGAAACAAATGGTCGGCGGAAATGTTCTTGAGAGAGTTGGAGAATTAATGGAATTGTGCCGGCTCGAAGGGAGGCCAACTGGTGTAGGTGTGACGGGAGCGGTTTGGGTGAGAGGGTCGGATGGAGAGGAGGCGTTAGCGTGGGAGCGAGGAGAGGCATAGGGTGCAGCGATAGCATGAGTTTGAGCATTGATGGTATTGTGCTGGCTGGAAGGGAGGCCGACGGGTGTGGCTACGACGATATGGGTTTGGGTGAGAGGGTCGAGTGAGGAGAGGTGTATGGTGCAGCGACGGTGTAGGCATGTCGGAAAGTGTGGAAGGCCGGAATCGTGCGAGGAAGTGTTGGTCGTCAGGTGGCGTGAAATTAAGAGGAGTTGCTCTTGAATAATGTGTATAACCGATCCAATGTTGCGGTAATAATTAAACATTGGATTCCAACCACTCTATAGCGACTCTTTGGGGGAAATAAAGCCATTTGATAAGGAAAAGAACGTAGGGGTAAAGTCGTCGGAGCAGTGAGAATTGGGTCCCTTTGGACCGAAGGAACCGTTGGCTTTGCTGCCTTCTATGGGACGAGCCTTTAAACTTTGCAAAAATAAAAAAATAAGGGACATTTATGCCATATAAATTTTTCATATCACATAAAAAATATTATTATTTTTTTAATTTTAAAAAGTGAAATACACCTTATTCATATAAGAATTGAAGTTTAGGTTTTGCATCTTACTTAAATATGTAAATATATAAGAACTGAGTATCTGTTTAGGGCAGCTACAATTTATTGAATAACATGTTGATAAACTTATTAAAAATAATATGCTGATGAGCTAAGCGTAGTTGCTATTACAAATTTTCATTTTTTTTTTAAAAGTCAGAAAGCAACCAGAAAACTGTCACCGCATCTAGATTTGTGCAATGTTTGTTTTCAACGTTTTGAAAATGCGGTTGTTTACTCAAACGGATCAATTGCGTTTTCAAAAAGCCGCCGCACCATATAAACTGCCCCAAACGGGTCATGAGTGGTACGCATGTGAATGCTCTAATATATATATATATATATATACTTGAGTATATATATAATTCATAAAATCTAGAAATAACATTATTGAAATTTAAAATGCGTAGAGCATCCTAGTATAATTTTTTATTTAAAAAATAATCAAAGCTAAAATCGTTGGTCAAATCTTTGGGATCCGACTCCTCAAAAAACGGAGCCAGAAAATAAATAATAATAATGGAACGTACCGATATGAGCTTTTCTTGGCTCATGTTTTCTGTGAAGAAATGAACAAATAAATTGCAAAATTAATTCACAAATTTATAAATATATAAAAATAATTTCTGATTATTTCAGAAATAACCCAAAATTATTTTACATTTTAATTAAAAAAATATATTTTTTTAAATATAAGTATTTAAATTCATATTATTTGAAATCGAAAATTAATAATTGAAAATATATGTATATATTTAATCGATCTGAAAGCTAATCCTTTCTTATTTTTAATTTTTTTGACCATATTTTATTCTTCTAAAAATAAATAAATAGATATTTTTAATTTATTTAATTTTATTTATTTATGTATCACCTAGTCAATAAAATAAAGCAATCCTGCCGTCACCTTCACGAGACTCTCAATTCAAAAACGGCCCCCACCACTTTTAAAGCTAAAGAGAGGGAGAAATTTTGATTTTGTTGAAATAAATAAATATAAATTATGTTTTATTACATTTCAAACATATTTATTTCAAAAACTAAATCAATCAATTTTATTATATATTTTCACCAAATATCATAATAAAATGCACACTTAATTGTGAGTAGACCTATATGAAAAGCTCGTTCGTAGTAGACCTGTATGAAAAGCTCGTTCGCAAACGATTCGTGTTCAAGTTATTTTTAATCGAGTGAGTTGAACATGAACAAATTTTTTAAACTCGAATTGTAGTTGAATCATCCACGAACAACCCTTTGGCCTATTATTTTAGCGTTATTTTAGCTTGAAATAAGAAAATTATATATCTAAATTGAAATTATAATAGCTCGTTAGCTCAACTTCTTTTATTGTAAATGAATGGCAGGTTCAAATCAAACACTTTTTATTTATTTTTTATATTAATTCTAATAAGCTAATTTTGAGTCTAACACGAGTTGAACATTAAGGTTGGTCAACAATTTGAAACACAAGCCAATTTCAAACATACTTAATTTTGAATAGGATGAATATGAGTCATGTTCGAGCTAGCTCAAGCTCCGCTCATTTATAGGCTTACTCACGACATAATGGTGTAGGGTATAGTCTTTCACTACGAAGTCACATGTTCAAATCACTTATATTAACCTTTTAGGCTCCAAAAAGAATACCCTAGTAATTTATATATATATATATATATATAATTAAAGATGCCCCTCTTCTCAGGATCAGTGCTCATCTGGTCTCACCTTCACCAAGCAACATTATAACTACTTCACATCCTCTTCTTATAACCAAACCACCCTCCATCCTCCCCTACCACAACATGCAGGATCCCTACAACGGCAAGGTTCTCCTCGCCGCCGTCATTTGCTTATCCATCGTCGTTCTCTTCGTCATCCTCCTCCACATCTACGGCCGATGGCTGCTTCACCGCAGCCGTGTCACCACCACGACGAACAGTACTGTTTTGACTGAGTTCCATCGCCGCCGCAGGAGCTCTGTCGATGAAACAGGAGCGGTGTTGTCTTTGAGAGATGTTGTCGGACGGGATTCTGCGGCGGTGGCGGCGCTGCCGTTGTTCGTTTATAGCGAGAAGGGACAGGATGGAAGAGTGGTGGATTGTGTGGTTTGTTTGAGCAAGATGGAGGAAGGGGAAAAGGGGAGGATTTTGCCTAGATGTGGGCATGGGTTTCATGTTTGTTGTATTGATATGTGGTTGAGGGATAATTCTTGTTGTCCAATATGCAGGACACCGGCGGCGGCAGTGGTGAGGGAGGACAGGGAGGAGGAGGAGGGGGGTTGTGAGGTTGTGGTGATGGAGGCTGATGAGGGAGTTGAGGAGGTGAGTGACATGGTGGTGGTGGTGGAGATGGATGATGATGATCAAAAGAAAGAGGGTTCTTCTTCTTCTTCTTCTTCTTCTTCTTCTTCAACTACTACCACTGTGATTAGTGGTTCTCTGAAGAGAATGTTAAGTAGGAGTAGATCTGATAAGAGAGTTTTCCCCTCTGTTATTGACAATTAGTGTTTTTACAAATGTGTAAATGGACAATGAATTTATTTTTGGAAGATGGATTTTTGGATTGGATTCTTGCTGCTTCAATTTTGGCATTTTAGATAGAAAAAAAAGGGACAACTTTCATAAATTTTATTTAAATTTTTTGGTTGACTGTTCTATTATATAATGTAGAAATAAAGTGTACATTTTAGTTACTAAAAAAGTATAGAATTCAAGGATTGGACTAGAATTGGTGGCCAGCCTGGTCTGAATCATATAAAAAATCCATTTTGGTCGTGAACTGCCTAAAACCGGTCTTACTGATGGTTCGATCTGTAGACTGGTGAGCTAACAACCAGGAATCAACCCTCCGTGACCAATTTTGTGCGATCCCGAGCGCAGCGTATGGGCATTGCATCGCAGCTTAGGAGTACTGCTCGCATTTAGGCTCGTGTTGCAGAGCTTTTTGGCATTCAAATCCTGGCCGACAGAATTCTTAACTATTTTATTATTGCGTCATTTAGATCAAATTTAATATATAATTATATTTATTATAACATCCGTTTTAGCCTTTGGTTGAACCAATGAATCTTGAATTTTTCATTCCTTCAATTGGACTCCGGTCCAGTCTTCAAAGCTTGATAGAATCTTAAGTTACTGAGTTTGAGTGCTCACCTATATTTTACTCATCTCTAGTTAAATTTAAGGAAAATAAAAATCATCTTGTCCATAATTAAGTTTTTAAGTTTTCATAAGGCAGAATCTAAAATCCGTTATATTTGCTTTGAGATGCGTGTAATATATAAGTAATTAATAAAAAAAAAGGTATACGTACCATTTCAAAATAAATTCAATGACTTGGGGAAACTAAAATTATATCAGTGATTTACATCAGTTTAAGGCCCATAAGTTTAAGGAGATTTAGAAGACTCAATATGGGCCTTTTTCACCCATATGGGAACAGCTGGGGAGCTTAACGGGCTTTCTATTTAGCCAACCTGGCCCGAACTTATTCCCCTCTGAATTGCATTAAAATGGCATTGATTAATTCAGTAAACCATAGCTGACAAGCATTGCTGCATGTCTCAACTAAGAATTAAAATAAATGCTAATCATATTGGATTTGAGATGTGATGACACCTGATTGGATACAATGAACCCTATTCCACCCCAAACACTAAGATGAATTGAGCTATTGTCATCTAAACTTCACCTCAGTTAGCTTAACCAAATGTCAAGTCTCATGTTAGAAATCATCAAAATAATAATAATACACGATAGGCTTTTAATCTAGCTTAATTATGGGTTTAAATTTATCTATATCGTGGACTTTCTCCTTTAGTTGTACCAACAGACGTGTCTGCCTTTAGGTCATGGTTTTCACCAATTATTTGTAGGGTTATAATCGAGCCGGGTTGAGTTAAGTATATAATAAACCAGAAGTAGTTCGGTCATATTATAAGTCGTTTTTGGTTCAACTCTAGCTTGAGCGAAGCTTTCACATCTGTGTTCATGTTTGGCTAGTCTAAAATATGAACTTACAAATGAATGTATGAATGTATTCTCCTATTTATTTGCTGTTTTTTTTTTAATTTTAGTTCTAATAATTTTGTTAAATAAAATTTGGTTTTGTTAATGTTTGTTGGATTGCTTGTGAAACTTTTAGATTTTGAATTCATGTTTGGCTATTCTATTTTATCTTTTGAAACAAGCGAGTTGTGATTGCATTTGTGTATGTGATGCTCAACGACCACTACAGAAGTAGCTGGAATTAGCGTCTGATATTTCTGACACAAATATTAGTGTTGGATTTGCGACTACTGAGATGAAAAATAATGTATGACATTTGCTTCATAATTAGAGTTTTATTTGCGTCGGATATTTCATCGATATAAGGGTGGAAACGATGAAACTACTTTTGGATTTGCGACCGATTTTGCATTAAAAGAAACGACACAAATATTTTACTTGTCAGCAACGAATTAAACCGACACAAATTTGACGCAAATTTCACGCCAATAACCTAATTTACTAATCTGAAGCGTCTCATTTTCATTTTCTCTCCACATTGTGCTCGTCTCCCCCTATGCTCGAAAGAGCCGTCTCCCCTCATGCGCATCTCCTCTTCTCCCATTCCCTATCCCCTTTACTCTCCCTTACGGGTTCGCCGTCCTTCGGGAAGAACCTTCATAATTCAGTTGCCATTAGAGCTAGCTGGAAAGATAATGTGCGCATGGCTTACAAAGACTGCTAAAACTCCCCTATCTGAATATGTATGCACCCTATTTTTTTTTCTTTAGTTATGAATGTTCTTATTGGACATTTACAAGAGAATGTACCTTAGTTTATGTTTTTTAATGATGCTATTGTTTTTGTGGAAAACACTAAAGAGAGTTCAAGAAAAACTTGAATTATGAAAGTCAGCCACAAAGCATAAAGGTTTGTTTGATTAACATGACTTATATCATATATGAGAGAATATTTAAATAAATTTGATTAACTAAAACTATTTTAATTAAAATATATTTATAAATAATATTTTATGACTGCATCTCAACGCTAAGAAGGATTAAGCATGGAATTAGACATTGATCTCAACTAGAACATAACTCTAATGGTATTATTTTGTTAATTTATTTGGAGATCTCAAGCACCAATATTAACAAAACAACTATATAAAATCAATTAATCTATACCCAAAGTGTATATTATAGATTGGATTTATTTGTTTAATTTGTTATATATCTCATTTAACTCTTCATGACCAAGAAAATTAAGACAAATTAAACAAATAAATCCAATCATTCTCAATCTTTTAATCAATATTTTTTAAAGGATTCAAACTTAAAGAGGTGTAATTTATATTACAGAGAGAGAGATTTAAGGGGACAAACCTTTTAATACAAGACAACACAGCACTATTTTTTTCCCAAAAATTAAAGAGGAGCAAATGCTCAAATACATGACCCAAATAATATAAATGGAGGTGTAAAACACTATACTAAGGTTTAATTTAGATATGTTTCTCAATCATATACATCTAAAAGGGAATAAATTTTGAAGAGAATCTATTTAATTTCAAGACATCTCTAAATTTTATCTCTACATTTACTATCAATTTTTCGTAGATCCTCCAAATGAATACTATCATCAGCTCTAGTAAAAATATTAAGAATGATAAATTTGATCCAAATCTTATTAATAAGGCTGATGTTCATATGTGCGCTCTTGGGTGGCAAGTTGGTATGCAGCTGCGTTGTCATTCGTAAGACCAGTTTGACCAGCGTTTGATCCCCACGTGGATGGATAACACATATGGGGAGCAGTATTCTCAAATATCACCCTTAAAAAAAAGGTCAATGCTCATATGCATGGAAAACTGCTAAAGCATGAGCGGGCTAATGTCTTACACGTCCATTGGTGACCTAATAATAATAATAATAATATCTAAACTGTCTTGAGAATAAGAAGAGGATGGAGGTGGCACAACCACTTTTAAAGAGAAATCAACATTTGGAAATTAATTAAATTTATGACAGACCATTCGAGTTCGCTTAAGCTATAAAGGAACAATTCCTAAGCAACTATATCAAACAAGAGAAACATCAATAGTAATAATAGGTAAAAAAAAGTATCAACCACTAAAGAAGAATGAGAGTATGAAATATCAACATAAATGATAAGTAGGGACATTTATGTTGTTATGTAGGGACTTTTGAGTTCTACATTGAGATGTGTTTATAAGTCTTTTATTTCTAAAAACTCATGTCAAAATGAATTATAATTACTGAATAAAAATCATTTATAGCAGTTTGTTTAGAAATAAATCTTAGAGAAATTAACAATATAAATTTAAATTATGCATTAAAATCAATAACAACAATGTTATTTTTCACATCAAGATTCATGGCATTAGCTTGTACCAATGAAAATGTTTTAAAAGAACATATTTGCATCCTTAAAGCAAAGAGACTATAAATAAAGTTAGGTTTAAAGGAAATAAATTGATTTTATGAATTCTAAATGTGTAATACCACTACATCAACTTTTACATTAATTATCATTAATTAATAATATAAGAACATTTCAAAGAATAACTTAGCCATTTATATTATTAAAAGTTTTATGTATATATTTTTCTAAAACATTATATACATAATTTAATTATGCTGCCATTGCTCTAATCTTTTGAAGAAAAATCATTGTCAATAATACAAACAACATATGCAAAAAAAAGCTTTTCAATTATAATATAAAAGAAAGAGATTCGTAAGAATATCAAGTTTCCATTAAATGAACATTATTTTTTTCCCAATATTAAGTGAATAAAAAACAACTTCATGTAATACAACATCATCAAATATTTAGAACAAATAACAAGAATAAGAAGATTTCACAAACCTGTTTTTTTGTCTAATATCAAGTTGAGACATATTCCTCTAACAAAAGTAGGGGAAGCCAACTATTTAAAATTATGTTGAAAGGCCAATGATGAAACACACATAATGGTGCTAAAACATGTATGGGCTCTAGAATTTTTTTACTATCATTTGTCTTAAAAGTAAGAATAATATGTAAGTTTGCTTAGAAATATAAGAGTGAGGCAAGATGATGAATTCTAATGAAAAATAGATGTATAGAAAATGATAATTAAGGGAAAAGAGACAAGTTCTTAGATAGTATTGTCAGCTAGAGAATTTTCATATAAGTAATAAAGAGACAAGAGCACTATACAATTCATTTCATGCCCAAGTTAATGAAGCACTTTAAAGCCTCAATACAAAGCATTCAACTTACTAGCCATGAATTTCTCCAAAGATAGCTATTTCAGAATCACATCAAGAAGCATAAAAATAACATATTTATCTTGGCAAGATGAATATAATATAAGTTATTAATTTAAGGGAAGGAATATAGATGGCATTGCACTTCTAACTTGAAACAAAATACAACTGTGGAGGACATTGGCCAAAAATCAACTAAGCAAGGATGTTAGGCAGCCCGTTGTGATTGGATAAAATAAAAAATTTGGCGCAAAAGGACCTCCCTGAGAGAACATCTAATGTGGAAGAAAGGATGAATCTCTTCAGATAAAAAAATGTACCAAGGATAGAAGGTTAATAGCATGGGGACTGCTAAAACCAATGTGATATGGCCAGTAGTGAATTTAGACAAACTAAGGTAGAAAGTCAACATAAGTGGAATGTAGCAACTCGCAAAGCAAACTAACATAGATAAGAAATGATAGAAGGGTCAAAGGGTTATTTATCAGTGAACTAGAAAGAACCAAACAACTCCAAAGAATCTTGTTAGTAGTAGCCAAATAATGCAAGCAAAATGGCCACAAAGGCAAACTTAAGGTTGGGTTAAAAATCTATATCTTCACAAAGTAAGGGAAGCCAAGGCTAACATCAAAAGGGAAGGAGAGTGAAGGGTGTCACTACTTTTGTCAGCTATAGAATCGAGCAATTGTTTTGACTATTCCTCCATAAATAATTACCTAGTCAATATCATGGTCTCAACTCACATGCAAAGCTTCAAATGATATGGTTACTCTACATGAATTAAAGTATCTTACTCACATATGAGGATCTATAAATGACATTAATGTGGCACATTTTTTTACAGAAATGCTATTCTCTCCAGCAAAAAAAACCCACTAAATGCACTCAAATAAAAACATATGATACTCTTCATTTTGTTTGGTCCACTTAATAAGTGAATATTTCAAGTCAATGAACATATTTCAAAGTCTATTTAAGGAGCATAGCTTTATTTATTGTAATTACATGTAAAAGCAAAGTGTCCCATTATTGCTCTTATATAAAATCTACACCTTATGAAGAAAATGCTTGAAAAAACTTTGCTTATCATCAAGGACTCAAACCCAAACAATGAAAAACAGCACATGATAATAGGAATTAACATAAATTATAGCATCAGTGACCTGTGATGCAAACTTGAAACATATGACACATGAAATATAAGTTTATTCGTAAATATTTTCATACAGATAAGGAAAAAACACATGCTAAATTTCACGAAATGTATATTACAGCCCTGCAAATAAACATGATATTGCATTAATACCAATTATACAGATTCATTCCAGTAATTAGTTATATCAATGGTGACAGCTCAAGTAAATTATGTATAGAAAACCATCAGCTTCCCTTCTAATGCAACCCTTCAGCAGAAAACTGATAGGGCTCTACTATGCTTGCGAATAATGGAACAGTGCATCATTTCATGTTGGCAAATTTCACATCAACTCACCCAATTTGATATATTTTCAATATTATTTTCATCATAAATGTTATGAAAAATGATGTTTCCCCAACTATCCATGCTTAAAAAGCTGAAATTTTGTGCTGATTTTGTGCCTGTGTTCAGTAATGGTGTTCTCATCTCTTATTAGAGAAGAAACTGGTATTAATTTGTGATTATGAATGAAGTGAAGAAAACAAACATATTTGTTCGTATGCGTTCTATTGTTCAAGCGCTATGCCTGCTGATTTGCTACATATCTCTAAAGATTTTCATTTCTTCTTTGTTTTCATTTCCTTTGCCAGATATCAAGATAAAGGTATGAAGAGAAGAGAGGGAGAGAGATCAATAAAAATCATACTTTTGTAACTAAAACAGCAAGTTCAAGCTATGAAGCTCTTCAAAAAAACAAAAACAATGGAGAAAGACCAAGTAGAAGAACTAATTCTATATATATCTATCAAATAAGAAGAATGCAAAGCCATTTGATCCCATCATAAAATAACCGTGCATGTTCATATATATCTTCAGATCAAAACCCCCAACTCATAAATCGAACAAGGAAGGATTAGAATCATCCCAAAAACAAGCACTTGCCATAGAATAATCTTCATAACCCCCCCCCCCCTCCCATCGAAGGCGTCGCCGGAATATTCTCCATCCCCGCAGCCGCCAAACCAACTTCCGACGAACCTTGCGGGGGACATGATATAGATAGCCCAGAGCTCATCGAACCCACAAGACTGTTCATTTCCTCAGATCCAGCCGGTAGATTCATGGCCGCCGTGGGTACCACTTGTGTGGGATATGTGTACGGAACACTGGGGTAAGTGTATGGGAGAATGGGGAGAGGGAAACCGGATGGCCGAGGGAGAAGAGGACGAAGAGTAGTGGTAGACGAAGAGGTAGAAGAAGAAGCAGAGGAGGAGTTGCGGGTATGGGAACCGGCTGTAGAGTTACCGCAACCGGAGGGTTGGAGATTGAGCTGAGCGCGGTGGCCGTAGAGGATGAGAGCGGCGCGGTCGTAAGCGCGTGCGGCTTCTTCTGCGGTGGAGAAAGTTCCGAGCCATTTTCGCGTTCGCTTTCTGGGCTCTCGGATCTCCGCAACCCACTTTCCCCAACTGCGTTGCCGAACGCCGCGGTAGCGGAACTTGGAGTTGTCCGGACCGCCTTTGCCTCTGCTGACTTTTCGTGTGCCGCCGCTGCTTCCGCTGCTGGTGGGACTGTTTGGATGGGAGAGGGAGCACTGTTCTATTGGGGAGCTTTGGGTTGAAGAAGAATCCATGGAGAAAGAAGGAGAAGTTTCAGACTTTAGAGAGAGAAAGCAGAAGATGAAGAGGATGGGGGAACGAGATGGGAGAGTCGGGAATCTGCTCTGTGGCTTCTGCTATATGGGTGTCAAGGGCGGTGGAATATATATATATATATATATATATATATGCGAAAAATAAGAAAATGTGGTAATTGGAATTGACTTTAAGGGTCCTTTTCAGTTAGCTTATTAGATGCGGTGGAGTTTTGACTGTTTTGATAAATTGTGTTTTGTTAGTTTATATATTTTCAAAAAGTTAAAAATAGTGTTTTCACGTCGCTTTTGTCTAGATGTGATAGTAGCTTTTTGACAGCAATCTGACTTTTTTTTATAAAAAAAAATTATAATAGTCATCACAATCTACAAATTATTTTCAATCAACATTCTATTATTTAATGAGCTGCCTCAAAACTGACCCTAAAAGTTTTTTTTTTGATGTATTATAGTGCTAAAATAAGCTATCATTTAGAGTTATTTTAAAGTAATTTTAATAATAATAAGGTGAATTCTGACTGATTTAAGAAATAATTAAGGGAGTGCAGAAGGCATTTATTAAAAAAAGTTGGAGGCAGAATTTGGGGTTATTTAATATTTGAGTTTTTTAATAAATGCTGTGGCATATTTTATTAAGAGATAAATATGATATTTCGGAAATATATTTCTGTGAATATTGTTTTATTTAATACTGAAATTGCTGCAAGTCAGCATGTAAAGATATTTGAAGATGTATTTTTTAATTATGATATGTATTCATGTCTCCATCAGCTTATCATTGATTGAAATTTATATAATAATAATATCTCTAACTAAAATTTTCTTAAAATAATGATTGATTCTCTGTACTTTCCCTGTCAATTTTTCTAAATATGGAAAATTTAAAGGCGGCAGCAGATGTCAAATAGATTTTGGATTCTTCTTCACAGCAGAAGCAGAAGCTGCAAAGCAGCTACCTTTGCTGCGTATAAAACCATTATGGAAGCTTAAGCACGAAGCAAAGAGTTGTGAAGAGAAGAACAATACAGTCTGCAACTCTGAATTGATTCTATTAAAATAAGGATATGTATATATATATATATATATATAAAATCTGCGATTGCCAAACTGATTTTGGATTGCTTTTATGTCAACGTGATTATGTTTTTTGTTTTGGAGCTATACAGCTTAAAAGTCTAGGCTGGAAAGGCTGTAAGGGAAACTCCATTAAAGTTTCAGTCTACTGCTGAGCAGCTGCTGACAGGTAGGGCTGATGAATTCTAGAGTTTACAGATGAGACTTAGCATGCAGAATCTATGTTGGTCGATCTTCTGCTACAATTTCTCGTCCATGTTTCATGAATTTAGGGTTTTTCCTCATGATCTTCGGCTACTTGTTCTTTTGATTTGAGTGCTCTCATTCCCTGAAATATTTTGCTTGTTTTACAGGCGGTAGATTGGCAAAAGATCTCCCTTTTCTTGTAGATGGAAAGTACTCTTCATCTGTATATTGTTAATTTACCTAAGTAATTTTTTGGGAAATTTACATGCATACCATACAGTTCTTATGTATTTACATGTCTAACAAACTACAGATGAAGTTCGATATTTACATTTATGAAGCTTTGGTGTTATATTAACTTATGCATGAAAATGTGTATTTCAATTTTAAAAAGATAATGATGATGATAGTTTTGATGTGATGTTAAAGATTTGAGAGATATTTATCTAAATATGAATTTTTATGAGTTGTATATGTAAATACATAAGAATTGTGTGATGTGTATGTAAATGCTCCTAAATTTTAGCCTTGGTAGATCTCCTATCTTTGGAGTGAGCATTTCTATGATGCTGTCTTAAGATGTGGTGAACCAAGTAGTAGCTAGATTTCATATTTCATTCAATTAATGAAGTATTTTTTGGTGGAAGGGTGCTATTATTATTTTCTATTAGGAATATTTTTGAATTCATGTTGCCCTTGTAGTGGCATCTTAATTTTTTTACTAAAATTTAAGAATATTTAATTGAAATTTGATATAAATTTAAAAAATTACGAAACTTTGTTTTAAAATAGGGTCGTTATTATTAAGGATTTTTTTTTCTTTCTTCATAAGAATAAGTGTGATCTCAAGACTTTGATGTTTGTAATGTGTTCTAATTGCTTTAATTTGGATCTCGTTCCTGCCTGGATTGGTGAGGGACTCTGGGGTGAGTTGATCGCAGCTTGAGTCTCTCCTGATTATGAAAGGAAGAGACAGACGAATCGGGCAACAGAGGGAGCCAGGGGAGATGGGCTCCATATTAGCAGATCGGTCTCCCATACCAAGCACTACAAGTGGTTGTTAATGTTTTTTTTATATTTAAACATTAATTCATTTTTTTTGAGTAATTTTTTAGAGCTAACCATTTTATACACTACACTGGCCAAGGAGTTAAGTCATGCTCCCTTCGTTGTGAAGCTGCATGTTCGGACTCATCGACGCCCAAGGATTACGCAGTGGGTCTCAGAGCATTCTAGGCAGGTTATAATAAGTTAAAACCATATATTAAAAGTTTTTTTTGACTCTAATTCTTGAAAGTGTCAATTAAACGATGGTTTTCATTATGCAGGAGGATTTCGAGCAGCTCCGGGAGAGGCACTTGGTCGCTCAGGCCCAGACTTATGCTAGTAGTAGTGGTTGTCAGTCTACCATGATATAGTTCGATCACGAGCTTTGGACCCAGGCGACAGAGAGGAAGAATGGGAGGGTTTATGGCCTTGGAGCGAAAGGACATAACCTTTGAGACAGAGCCCTTCCTGTTATGATATTTATTTTGATAACTTAAGTCATTAATTTTCTTAAATCATAACTCATAAATTATGACAACTTATGATATTTATTTTGATAACTTAAGTTTCATGTTTAAATTTATTAAACCAAAATGCTATAATTGTAAATATCAAACCTTTATTCTTGAAAATGTAAATAATTAAGAATTGTGTGGTATTTATGTTATATTTTTATTTATGACTCACATTTATTTTAATAACTTATGGGATTTATTTTTGATAACTTAAGTTATTAATTTTCATAACTCATAACTTATGTCATAAATTATGACAACTTATGATATTTATTTTGATAACTTAAGTTATTTATTTTCTTAACTCATAACTTATGTCATAATTTATGATAACTTATGATATTTATTTTTATAACTCATATAACCCCAAAAATAAATAAATGTTACTAACTTATGTCATTGATTTTATTAATAAAAATCAATTAATTTATTAAATTATCATAAATTCTATTGGTTAGTAACCCCCTTGATGGATGGTGGTAAAATAGAGCATGAATTTGAGAATGAGTCCTCTCTCTACCTAACACACTTCGTACATTTCTCTCCATCAGAAAGTACAGAAAGTTTTAAGAGATTAGAGAGAGAAACTTCATCTCTTCAAGATCAAATTTGTTCATCTTGAATACAGGTATGCGTCACTTTATTTTACATATGTAAAAATCATGAATTTAAAAGATCTTGGTTATTATGTACTTTTCTTTTGAAATTTGTGTATAAAGTTGAAACATGAATTTTCTAACACTTTCGTGGTCTCGTTCTTAGTCCCCCAAGCTCTTCATAGTCAGACCATGAGGCTCTTGTTAGACATGTGGCTGCAATGAACGAAGAGATACGTCAGTTGTGAGAGTAGAAGCTAGAAGGACTAAATAGAGTTAAGGACACTATACGGCGAATGACAGAGACCTTAGCAATAGTCGGAGCAAGCAGCTGATGACATTTATGTAGGAGGTGGAGGAGACGCATATAGATGATGAGGCATTTTTCTATATTTGTTAAATATTTAAATATTTGTTGTAGAATTTTTTTGATTAAGTTTTCTATTCAATATCTTTCTTTTATTAATGATACTTTTTAGAGTTTTAATTTGTGATATGGTTATTGCTAAATATGATATGTGATGTGGAATGTATTTTTGTGTAGGTAGTAGAAATGTCATCATTTTTTTAAATTTTTTTTCCGCATTACAAGTTTGCAACGGATTTGTGTCCGTTTGTAGACCCGAATTCTGATACGAAATCGACAATAATATTTCGTCCCTATATAATAATTTCTGACGCAAATTCGAAGGTGATTTAACGCTAAAATTTATCATTCGATATTTTCAAACGTATATTTCAACGCATGCTTCATATAAACAAGTTCAATGCTAGTACTATGCAACAATCGACGCAATTTATTTGCATCGAAATATTTCAATTTAAATTGGACGTAAATAAAATTACCGATCCTCTATTTAAAGGCGGAAAAAATCAGACATAATTCAAACGCACATCTGACGATAACCCTGAAGTATCATCGGATCTACGTCTGAATTAGCCGATGCAAATATTCTTAATTCTTATAACGAGACATTAATGAACAATAATATGCCACATCTTCTTCATTAAATGATCTTCCTATTTTTAGGTGAGAGTGTACAATATGTTTATATTACATTTATGTTTTTGTTTTAATGGAAGTTGTACAGGATATTCTTAGTATTTTACATATTTAAGTTTATCGTTCTGTTGCTCTCCAGCACGATTGGCTGAGTTTGATTGGCTTCAGGTCGGCAGGACTGGTTCGATCAATTAGGTATGGAGTGTTACTGATTGGATGATTAGCCTAGTTGTCGACCCTAGTGAGGAACTTCTATCGGTAGAGCAATGCTAAATTATCAAGCAGAGTGTAAATTATTGTAACCCTGTAGGCAGCTTACTTTTCAACGACGAGAGCTTGATAGATGACTATAAGTCTCTTTGATGCATTGTTAATTTATGATCCCTGATGAGGAGCTTTTAGGGCGTTCATAAGATGATTGTTGATATTGAAAGATTAGATCTTTCCTCGGATCAGATCTATCAAAATGTATGTTATCTTATTGGGCCGGCTTTCTTATAATAATTAACTCGAATGTCTGTTTGTCTCATTTTTGATTGAACAATTCCAATTCATTTAATTTGTCATCTTCTTATCCTCTTCGCGGCTTAGTCGATTTTGATCTTGGCTCGGACGACTGCATCCAGTCAGCTTTTGATCTTAGCTCGGACGACTGAATCTGGCTGGCGTT